GGGGTTTTGTCCCACAGTTTTGATCCATCCCACGGTTTTGTGACCCCCTACGAAGTAGGGGGTCTTACGAGCTCTCGCACAGACCCCCGAGTAGTCCACTCGTCTATTATGTGACGTTCGTAGAAAATACTAAACCGAACAAGGCTAGCGTCAGCGTAGGCGGACTACAATTCGCTCTAAAAAGCTCCCTCCGTGACTTCCTGCAGCGACTTGACCTTTGGTGGGAATTGAAGCCATAGGCTTACCGCTGATTCCGGAACCCCAACGACTGATGTCGACGACTGATTCGAGAACCCCGCAGTGGGTATTTAACTTGAGCCGTCGCCCCAATCTCTCCATGGATATCGGAGCTTTCCTTTACCAGAACCAAGCAATCCGGTCGACCCACTTAACAATACGTACCCTAGGGACCTAGGATCGGGTAACATAGCGACCACTTGAGAAGTTATCAATTGCCGACATCATGTCAACGCCATCCTTCCTCTACGAGCAGCGACGTTTGGAAAATGATCTCGTGGCTCTGGAGCTATTTGATGCAGGTGCTATCTCCTTGACCTCGCGAGATTCTTCAAGAGGCACTAAGTTAAGCCAAGGGCTGACGTGTGGACGGTAGCGGAATCTTCACGTAGCGCGGCTCGTCAAGGAGATAAAGGAGAATCCCGATATGGTTCGATTCTTATCATTCCCGCCCATAAGCAGCGAGGAAGATCTCGTAGAACAAGTCGTCGGGCATGTCGATGCCTCGCCCGAGGAGTGCCTATACGCTATCCTGGACAAGACTAATTCCCCCGGGGGCGAGACGAAATCCGACAACTACGCTGGCATAATGGTTCTTTCCGCTACGAGTCAGGTCCACGCCATAACAGAAATGGGAATCATTGTCTTCCCGGCATTCCAGCGAACGCATGTTTCGACGAATGCGAGCGGACTTCTCCTCCAGTGGGCACTCGATCCTCCTTCCGCCGGCGGTCTCGGTCTGAGACGTGTCGAGTGGAGAACGCACTCGGAGAACGAGGCCTCTCGCAGACTCGCGTCGCGGATGGGATTCGAGTTTGAGGGTATTATGCGGTGGCAACGTATCTGCCACGGCGGCAAAGTGGGACTCGCCATCGATGCACTGGAGAGGAGAAACGGCACGACGGGCGAAGGGATTGGTAGACACACTGCCCTCTACTCGATTGTCTGGGACGAGTGGGATACCAAGCGGCCGCAGGTTGTCGCAAAGATGAGCCGGGCCTAAGATGAACCGTCTAGGTGCTTGCCCATCCAGACCAGCTCAACCTGCATCGATTCTTCAGAAAGTGCGTGTGTCGTATCCACGAGTGCAAAGCAGCCATAATGATGTCTTGCCCACAGCTCGCCTACAACTGAAGCGCCGAAAAAGAAAAAAAAAACCTGAACGACAATGCCAAGAATGTGAACCCCCGAAAAACCTGCAAAAAGAGAGAGTAATTTTCTTTTTGCAAGAAAGCCTACGGCGAGACTCGAACTCGCAGCCTTTAGATACCACTAAGTCATTTTACATAGCTTAGAAGTCTAACGCGCTGCCATTGCGCCACGAAGGCTGAAGACAAAATTGACACCAATTGGAATCGGGGCCCACTTATGAGGCTACATATAGCTATTAGTAAGTCGGGAGGTGAATGGTGCGAGTTCCAAGGCCATGTGATAGCTCCACTGGGAGATGATTAGCGGAGGAAGTCGGTTCTACAGCCCCGTTAAGTGCGGTAAATTTTCTAAAGATTTCTACCCGCCTTGGCCGTGACTCATGGAATTTCAGTTCTGGCAAGACTTTGGTGGACCTCCACACGCCGGAGAACCTCAACACACCAGAGATTGGCTTATCGACGTTAGAGGAGATGCTCGCTATACAATCTAGTCCGTTTCAATACCTAGCCCATTTCAATACATTTCCCATAAGGCTATCGACGGCTTGCAGGATTTGTGACACTTGATGTTGCTCCCGAGTTGCTCAGCGAAACTTTGCACGAGGTCCTCTGTGGCGAAGTGGGGCGGTTCTTTATGCCTGATTAGGAAACCCACCTACTAGCGCCACCTGTAGCCCACGAACGCGTCTTAGAGCTATCAGACCGAGTACGGGATGGCATCGCTGCCGATCTCTACGAAAGCAAATGCGCATACAATTCGCAGATAACCCAGCTGCAGGCCCTAAGACAACCTACGCTACTCTCCTTGCATTGTAGTTGAAACCCGGCACCCATCCGCAGCCTTCTCTTTACTACATACTAGTAACGGCAGCGCCATACTTCAGAATGCATGTTTTAGCGGCTCTAGCTGTTGGGCTGAGTGTCTCGGCCTGCCATGCTCGATATATCCAGGCTATTCTCGATGCCGGCTCGCCCAAACGCCCTCAAGCGGTCCTTGACGGGATGCTTTTTGACAGTCCAGCCCTCCCATCGGACCACCCTTCTGACCAGGCCGACTTCAAGACTGGCAGTTTTACCGTTCGGGAGCAGGCAGGAGATGTATGCGAGACGTACGGAGAGAAGCAATGGACTGGCACCGTCGACGTTTCTTCGGATAAGCGCTTGTTTTACTGGTTCTTTGAGAGCCGAGGCAATCCAGAAACCGATCCTTTGATCATCTGGATGAATGGGTAAGCCTCGCAGAAATGACTTCGCCTAAAGCCTGGTTTTGTACTCACCGAAGACTTTGCAGCGGCCCTGGGGGTTCCTCAATGATGGGTCTGCTGACAGAAATAGGCCCTTGCACACTACACCCGAGCAGCACCCACACGAAGCCGAACCCGTATAGCTGGAACAATAACGCCTCCGTTCTTTTCCTGGACCAGCCTGCAGGTACTGGTCTCGCTACTGTTGCACCCAACCGACAGTGGCCAGACACGGACGAGGAAGGCGCAATCGACTTCCAGTATTTCCTCAACGTCTTCTTCGGGGAAATCTTCAGGCAATACTCAAACCACACAATTCATATCGCCGGAGAGTCTTACGGGGGCCATTATGTGCCAAAGTATCTGCATCACATACTCGTATCGCGAGACCACAACTCCAGGAACGCGTTCTGGGGGAACATTACATCGGCCATACTAGTCAATGCTCTGACCGACTCTGTGTACACTTTTCTGGGCTCCTATGACCTTTTGTGTACGGACCTCCGCGGTCATATATTTAACTCTACCGTTTGTGGAGAAATGGCCACCGTCATGCCGGAGTGTGCGAAACTTGGAGATCTGTGTCGGGAGACCGAAGACGGCGAGGTGTGCCGAACCGCCTTCGAATACTGCTACATCAACGTTGGTAAACATTACAACGCGGAGCAGATAGCCGGCCGCAAGAGCCCTTACAATAGTAAGTGTTCGTGCTATGTAGCGGCCGTCATACTCCCTTTTTTCATGCTGCTTCTATATATCTAACACGAAATGTTCAAGTCCATCTGCCTTGCACTAATCTTCCCTTTTGCTGGGAAGAGGGGGTCGGCAACCAGTCCACATTTATCAATCAAAAGCGGGTTCTATCCGCTCTGGGATTCGACAGCTCTTTTCACTTCCAGCTAGTGAACTACGAATTAAACCAAGGCTACCTTACCACGCGCTCGAATCTGCTCCCCATGGCTCCTCCATTGAGTTATATCCTCGATTCGGGTAGAAACAAGGCTAGGGCGGACATCAAGGTGTTAGTCCTGAATGGTAACGAGGATTATATTGTCAACACTCCAGGACAGATCTATGCCTTCGACAATCTTAGGTGGAGCGGCCAAGCCGATTTCAGGTCGTCGCGGTGGACTAATTGGGGATACAAGCCGGAGAGCAGTCTTGGAAATGAGCCATTTCCGGGCTCGGGGTTCTGGAAACAGACCTCGGACGCAAAGCTGGTGCTAGTAGGAGTCGATGGAGCAGGCCATGAAGCCCCGAGGCACGCCGGCGCTGCAACGGGAGCCATTCTTGAGAGATGGCTCAGGGGCTGGTGAAGAGTAGTAGACAGCGGAGTTATGTATATATAATTCGGCGGTTAGCTTAATAGCTTTCCATTGCATAAGCGACGATGCATCATTTGAAGGTTACCAGTGCGGCAATGTACATATAGAAGTATTCTTGCTTATACCATCAAAACGGAGATTGTGCTTTAAAGGGAAGAGCTATACAGGACGACGGGATATTCGTATACTGTTCTACTTCCACTCCCACTCGACATAACTTGTGATGCAGGCCATATATAGCAATCAGCACGAATCTAATGGACATGCAATTTTGCTTCCATACTTCGAGCCTCCAACCTTCCCGAGTTCAAGAATAGCATTCACGACGCCACCAATTCCTTCACCAGCGACGGCGCCAGCAGCAAGTGAGTACACATATGCTTCGTATCGCCTAGGATCCTTTTTCTTCCAGATATAGCCAGCAATAGCCCCGGCAGCCATCGTCTGTTGTGTTTATTAGCCCACCTAGGGTTATGAAAGATACGACAGCGGGACCATCACTCACAATGTTGAAGGCGACAAACGGTGTGACGAATGCGAGTCCAATGACAGGCAGATTTGGTACGAATTTGCGGTACTTCGTTCGCTCGCCGATTAGGTAGAAATTCTTAAACAACACAATAAGAAGCGCAAAGATCCCCATGACGAGTGAAAAAATTGCTGAGCTTTTCGGGAGAGGGAAATCAGCGGATGTTACTACTTTGGCGAGGCTTCCCCAAGCCGCAGCCGCCGGCACCTTAAACTCGCAAGTCGGATCTCCGCTGTTGAGGATGCATGGGTATGCCTTGGTGAAGAGGATGAATATGAGGGGCGATATCAGAATAGCAATTAGGTTGCCTGCTGCCTGCGTGATAATCTGTTGCGGCACTGGGGTCCCGAGGAGGTAGCCGACCCTCAGATCGCTGATCAGCTCAACAGCGGCATATGTCGAGCCGCCAGAAATCTGCGCAGCGGCAAGATTGATTCTTTGGGCCGCCGTGGCCGGCGTATTGTGTACATTTGACATTCCGCCGATGATAAGTTGCCCGACCTTGGCTATCGCGGTTGTCGGCGACTGGTCGGCAGCGCCCTGACACTGGACACCGAGGAATGCGAATATGAAGCCGAGAATCAAGGTTACTAGGGTTTCACCGATGCCCATTTCGTACTGGAGAGCTAGGATGACGCACGAGACGATGATTAGGAGGATGACTGCCGGAAGCCAGATCCACCAAGGAACCGGTTGGTCGCCCTCGAATAGCGGTTCGGCTTCACTTTTGCGAAAGAGCTGCCTCACTGAGCGTCGGGTGGGGAGTCTCAGTCCCGAGAGACTTGCCTTTGTGACCCTGTACACGACCTTGTAGAGCGATAAAATCTCTGCAACGGACGCGAACAGCATGATCATGATACCAGGCCACAGGAGCCAGTACCTAGGAGAAGGAAGCGTGCCTGGGGTGAGACCAGGGCTCAGCGCTGTGTAGACGGTGTACGGGCCCCATTTTGTATCTGGTGCAGGCTGGACCCCAGCTGCCACACCTGAAGCCACGAGACTCGGGCCGATAATTCCCCAGGCTAAGATAGAGCCCAGCAGTCCCGAGAGTCCGATATTTAGGCCGACAAGCATGCCGTACCCAAAGAACGCGGGAGTAAGTTCAATGTACCAGGTCCAGCCGTCTCCAGTAAGGGCCGTGCCGTTGGTGTATCCAGACCAAATAAAGAACCTACAATCGTATCAGTATAAGTCTTCCACTAAAAGGGAGAGTTTTGGACTGAGATGGCAGAGAAAGATGCGAGACTTGCCAGACAAAAACATGCCAATCCCAAAGAATGCCGATGGCGTATTGAGAAACCACGCGATGTATAAACGACCAAGTGAACGCATACCCAAGCACTTTTATCTTCTTCTTTGCGTCGTCGAGACCCGTACCAGCTGCATGGATGCCCTTGATCATGACGGCTATCGCAGTGTCTGTATGCGGGTTAACATGGATAGGGCAGTTGCAGGATGCGAGCCTCGGGACGCACTTGAAGGAAATATAAGGTTCCAGTCTCTGGCAGCTGTGCGGAGGAAGAAGTTCCGCATAGGAATAGCGAACAGCATGCCATAGTAAGCGCAGATGAGGGTGAACGTCACCAGCCGCCAGTAGTCATCTTGGGGATCCTGCGACATCAGCCCGAGCTGGTAGAAGGCAGGAACTCCGGTGATGAAGATGAATGAGAGGCCACCTGAGGTCACAGCAGCTGTATGAACGATGTTGTTCTCCCTCGGGCCGAAGTAACCCCCAAGGATGGGGAAAGACTCAGAGAGCGAGTGCGACAGTAGCTTGAGCACAACAAATCCGAGCAAGGTCCCGAACATACTGGCTGTGAAAGTGATGCCAGAACGTAGTCCTTGCGATATAGGGGTTAGTCGAAAGCCTAGCGCTGAGAGAGGTCATTGTGACGAGACTGGTCGGCTGGCTTACCTAGATAGAGATTAGAGGCATTAACCAGAGTCCCGAGCACACAGCCAAGCACTAGAGCGCGGACCGTAAGGACTCGGCTAGCTTCCGGCCGCTGCCCCGGGTTGGGCGGCAGCGGCTCGAAGAGGTCGATGATCTCCTCGGTAGCTCCTTCAATCTCCTTTTCA